CAACAATATTCATGGCTTTACCGCCATATTTCATATGCGATCTATGAACCTTTGAGTGTGACATTATATTTATGTTCTACTGAACTGATGTTATATTAGAATGTAGTATAATAAAGGGAGACCCGAACTGCCTGGCGCTATACTGACCCTGCATTAATCATGTTTGAACAACCAGTGAAGGTTGTTTGTTCTACATGAGCTGTCCATTCTTCCTGGCCGCTCTGGAGGTCACGAATGGCGTGCCCTTCTCTGTCAATACTTCGTAAGCACTTACTTTTACTGAATTATAACACGATACTGTTTACAACTCAGGTGTATACCCACAAAAACTGAAATGCATTTTGTAACTGTAATGATGTTTTACCCATTAATTGAGTCGAAACTTGTTCCCAAAGGTTTTTCAAACAAAATCAAACTTTCAAATTTGACATCTGTTTTGCTGATATGCAATCCTTATTATATGCATGTGTACAACAGTTGGAAGGGCATGGGAGATTTGAGGTGTGACTTTACCTTCATTTTGAACCCAACAATAATCATAACGCCATGACGCTAGAGACCCGTGAAGATTCCGGGGTAGAATAGGTCTTCAGCAACCCATGATTGCCGTAAAAGGTGACTATGCTTGTCGTAAAAGGCGACTAACGGGACCGGGTGGTCAGGCTCGCTGACTTGGTTGATGCATGTCATCGATCCAGACTCGATTATTTACAAACCGCCGTCATATAGCTGGAATATTGCTGAGTGCGGCGTTAAACAACAAGCCAACCAACATGACGCTAGCATGACGTACCTGACAATAAATGATTCGCTGTGTACACAGTGATGACATCAACAAGTAAATCCATGTTGTTAGTAATATTCTATAATTTAACTGATAACAATTACTTTTCTGTATGATAATATATTAGCTACATTTTTGTATTTAAGCTCGTTAACGGAGAGGCAATTACAATAACGCCCCCTGGAGATGAGGAGCGTACCCCGCCCTCCCAGTAGCAAAGGTCGTGTGTGTTGGTCAAGTCTCCTGCAGCATGGGAGAATCGGTCGAATGAGAATAGGGTGGTTTAAATGTATGACCTGGCTGGTTGTAGGCATTCATAACCCTACGTCGTGTATCGTTGCTTCTACCGGCAGGTATCATTTCCAGAATCATTTATTTATTTGAAGGCACGGGTGGCCAGTCGTCTAAGGCGCCGCGATTCGCTGTGCAGAGTTGCGTCCCTTGGGCACGCCAGAAACCTAGGATTGTGGGTTCGAAACCCGGTTCGCCCCGATTATGTTTTTAGGTTTGTCAGCACCATACCCGTGCTCGTGGGTTTCACCGAAGTGATAAACGTCTGAGACCTGCATCACTTCGGGCTTTCCTCCCACATTAAGCTGACACGCCGTGATATAACTGGAATACTGTTAAAAGCAGCGTAAAACCCAACTCACTCACTCATTTATTTATTTATTTATGATCTTGGATTTACAAACCGTCGTGAAATAGTTAATACATTGCTGACTGTGTCGTCCAATAATAACACACATCATCGCTCAAGTAATTCGTTTTCAAGAGCATTTCAGTGAAAGTCTTGCACGGAGAAACCATGCAGACCTACTTAATAGGCGTGGTACAATAAATGCACCTTGACGCCCACAGAATACATCCCATAGTAATGTGTGGAGCACGGATCTATGTGCGCCAATGACACACGGATCATTCCATCGCCCTTTAGTTTTATAAAATCACCAGTGATGTGCGTCAAGATGCCCGCGAGTTGGCTGTTGTCGTACATTTAGGCCGTGTCCACAAGGACTAGTTGATGCTTCGGTCCCAGAACTGCTTACACATCACAGTTGCAATGAATAATGCATTATTTTAATTGGCAACCGCACAATGACACACTGTAGAACATACCATTATGGATGGAACAAAGCTATGAAGGATGCGATGACTATAGAGGAGTAAAATGTATATGATAAGTCAAACAGCTGAGGATGGCTCCTGAGGATGTTACATTTGTTGTTCAGTAAAATGATTGTGCGATGTTCATTATTATCCCCCGCCACGAAGTGGAAGGAGGATATAAAAATTGGTGCTGTCCGTCCTGTCGTCTTTCCGTCCGTCACGTTTCGTTTCCGGAGCAGAACTAAAAAAACATGAGAGATATCTTAACCGAACTTGGCAAATAGATAGGTCTTGTGGTGAACCAGATTATACCGAATTATGTTATGTCATTGAAATTTTTAAAAATTGAAAGTTTCAAATTTAAATAGGCCATCATACCCCTACGTCGTGTATCGTTGCTTCTACCGGCCATAGTTATCATTCCCAGAATCATTTATTTATTTGGGGGCACGGGTGGCCCAGTCGCCTAAGGCGCCGCGATTCGCTGTGCAGAGTTGCGTCCCTTGGGCACACCAGAAACCTAGGATTGTGGGTTCGAATCCCGGTTCGCCCCGATTATGATTCTAGGTTTGTCAGCACCATACCCGTGCTCGTGGGTTTCACCGAAGTGGTAAACGTCTGAGACCTGCATCACTTCGGGCTTTCCTCCCACATTAAGCTGCCACGCCGTGATATAACTGGAATACTGTTAAAAGCGGTGTAAAATCCAACCCAACTCACTCACTCACTCACTTTGAGCGCTTACTAAGCGCCAGTACAGTTCCTTTTTGGGATGTAATATCTGCAAGGGATAGTTTCTTTTGCACCTCAGTTTACTGTTAGTGGGTCGACCACTATTTATTCTGGTGGTGGTTATGGATCGAATATTGTATTGAGATATTGCCAAGTTATTATTGAAATATTATTCATTTAGGAAAACGCTATCCGCTGTGTATTCTAAATAACATTAACATACAGTGTAGTCCCTTCATAATGCTTCTCTAAATTTCAATCGAAAGTTTTGCTCACTGCCAACTTACCGCCTTGTGACGTGTCACACTCACTTTAACGCACAGCTAATGTATTGTAATGGACAATAACGGCTCCACGTGACAATTCACGACCCCAACTTGGATCTTATGTTCGCTTCTCTGTGACCACATTTCTTTTCGACAAATCGGCGCCAAGAAGGATAAAATTCTAATTCACACACATACTGGTTCGAGGTTTCTATTCAAGCGTCATGTTTACAACTATTTCACTCTATTTACTGGCTGCGAACTCCAAACTGACTTGAAGTCTTAAACATTCAATTTCAAAGCATATCTAAAAACATCAGGATGAGAATTTCGAATCGTTAATAGAAATGGCTTCTTTAAAAAAATATCCATCGCTTTGTGTATGTTAACTTGAAGATAGACCGTACAGATGCATTGTGTAAATGTATATTGCACAAGTATTGTTAAAGTGTCTGTTAGAGCGAGTAGCCTGCGGCAATGTTCACCTGACAACATAAAGGACGATAAAAGTCTAGCTGTATTCATACCGATACTAAAAGAATATAAACAGTGCATGCGACCTCAGGGTTTAAATAAATGTGTGTACAGGGACAATATTGACAGCGAAGCTTGTTTCACAAACACACATCCAGGTATTGTGACCTAGTCGGGTATGACCGTGTGTACAATGTTTCTATTGTACTTAAGGCTGGATGTATTTAAATTTATACATGGTTGATGTCCATGTATTCTTCCATATGTGAGAAGATATGGAAGGTAAATATAGGCTTGTCTCAAAGAGGTTTTGTTATGTCTGTGTGTGCATAGTATCTAATTCACGTGACGTCCTATTTCGTTTATCCATATATTCGTTCACATGGGAGGAGATGTGAAAGGTAAATCAAGATTACGTACATGTTAGCGACGGTTACTCAGATAGCGAAGGTCACATAACATTAAAGACGATACATACTTGACTGTATTCAACAAACAGTGACAGTCGAAATCTGTGAGTTTAGATACAATATTTTGACAGTGTTTGCATTCAGTGTCGTGACATAGTGTGACAGTTTCTGATTCCCATGCTGTTCTATATTGTATATTCATGTATTCGTCCATATCTAAAAGGGGAGGTGAGGTGAAATCGGGATAAACGTCGCGTTTAAGATTATTGCACTTATGTAGCGACGTGCTTGCACGTGTGTGTGGCTGCTTGTACTAGTCCGGACTGATGCAGATTTTATAGTGGTAGACCAATGAGATACCATGCCGCAGTTTAACATGAATACCCCACTCAGACACAGTATACTGACTCCGAGCCGACCAGTCCTTGTTTCAGCCCCTTAATGCCGAGCGCCAGACAGAGTAACAACAAGTATCATCTTTTAACGTCTTTTGGTATGATGCAGCCGGGGATCGAACCCCGGACCTTCCGCTCTCCGGGCGGACTCTCTACCACTAGACCACGGAGGCGGTCCCATATCTAAGAAGTTATGGAAAGTAGATTAAGTAGAGGTCAGTAAAAAGGCCCCCATAAGTAGTGGCACAATGGTGACGACGGCGCCCCCTTGAAGACCCAAGATAGTTCTTGGAGGTTTGTTTGATGTCATTCCAGATCTGCACCAAGGCCTGTCACAGCTGGACCAACGTCACTTGTTGGTTTGAAAGTCGACGTAAATGACCTTTCATTTCATCACGCACATGTCGATAGTCGATATACCTGGCAAAACAGCAGCCACGGGAGTGTGGGGATGTTCTGTTGTCCAATGAAGTCTGTGACCACACGTGCAACATGAGGTCGTGTATGGTCTTGTTGTAAAGTGATGTGACGTTCATGGGTCTGATTGTGATGTGCGGGGATGCCTCCCTATACCATTATGGGCCCACCACCTAATGCAGAACGTTGAACAACACACTCCTCAGCCTAACGTTCAATCCGAGGTTGAAAAACGCGGTAACGGTCGTCTTTGCTGTCAACATGAAACGTGGACGCATCTATGCCAGGCTTGCAGTTCAGGTCCTTGTGTTAGCGTGTTCCGAACGTGTGATGAACTTTCGTGTGTAAAACTACTTTTTATTTTGATTGAACATTTGTCAGTAGTCAACTTATTAACCCCACATTGTTGCAGATGTGCCCTCCCTGGTGTCAGCAACGACACATATGCTGTACAAGGACTTGACCATGAGATCCTTCTTAACGCCACCATACCCTGGAAGACGGAGAAAGGCGTCAGCGTCAGGGACTCCTGTCTCATCTACAAGGACGATGTTCCGGCGGGTCAGAACAGAACAACCCAGGAATGCAGCGCCTGGGTGTACGACAACTCCGTCTTCAAGAACACTGTTATTACAGAGGTAGGTCAGCGAAGTCATATAAATATAAGCGACAAAACCCTTCACGTAATCATTAAAACTCTCCAAAAGCATGTGCATTGTACATTCCGACTATACCACAAGCGTGTGTTAAGGAATCAGTATCAAATAATGATGATACCAGATGTTCTCGAAATGGTGAGCATATCCTGCACCACTGGTAGCACTAATTACAAACACATACAAAGGCAAGTCAAGTGATCACCTGGAAGAAACACGGGGACATGTGGCACAAGTCAAAATAGAGAATTGCATGGGAAACCATTTTGATCACTGGAAATATCACCCACACGTCTATTCCTTCAGTCTTGAATGTTGTAACCTTGACCAAACAACTTCTGAGCAAGACCCGATTGACGCCTTTTAATATGAAACAGATGAGGCGGTTTCACGTGTGTCTTATTTCTAGTTCTGTAGGGTAAATTAGTGGAAGGAAATTGGCAAAATAATTAAGCATTATTCATGTTAATAAGCCTCAAAGGGTATAATCGGTGTAATTAATCATATAGGACCATGAATGATGCAATTAAGCACAAGAGCATGTATTTCATTCATATAATTTCCCCCGACTATTTGACTTTTTCCCCTAATGGATCTGTCAGATGATATGTATTTTGTGATTGGGCTACACAAGCAAATATCTATTTAGCTTCAGGATTTATTTACAAATGACATTAATTCTAAATTCAGTCAAACACATGCTCATTATACAGTCGGAATCGTACAATCGCTTTTGGCAGAGATTTCTAATGAATATGGGAAGGGTTTTGTCGACTTTGTTTATTTATTCGAAAAGAAACCCAAACAAGGTAACAAACACATGACATCTTGAAGCTGACTTCGGACTTCGTCGGAACTGGACCCCACCACCGCCGTTGATTCTTCTCATATCTACTACGTAAAGGTTGTTGACATCAGAGAATATCCTACATATTTGCATGTACCCCTGATGAAAAAAATCGGGTCTACAATAAGTGACAACAAAAACTGTCCATTAACATTCAGAAAAGAATGTTCGTATTACACGTATTCCTTCACCATTTACAATAACAGTATTGTATATGTTACAATCAATGTCTTTAATGAGGCAATATGTATTCTGACAGAAAACTGGATGGTTGGGATAATTTAATATAGTTTCTTGATGAACAAAATCATTCAGTAATACCTCTTTGGTAACATCATAAGGTAAACTGAATTCAATGCTGTTGTATTTTCAGCTGAACATGGTGTGCAACGATAAGGGCCTGAGGTCTCTTGCCAACAGCATTCTGATGGCGGGACTTCTGTGTGGATCTCTTGTTCTGGGCATTGTCTCCGACGTGTAGGTAAAACCTTCAAATACGGAAGGTATTTCCATGTTTCGTGTTTTGAAAAGCAAAATGTATAATGATCACATATTGGCACATCCTTTGTGACTTGGAGTGATCTTTGTTCCTCTTGATTAAAAACCGTCTCGGTTGTCTAGTGGCGAGAGCGTCTTCCTGGAGAGCGAAAAATCGGGGGTTCTATCCCCGACCGCGTGATACCAAAAGACGTTAAAAGATGGTGCTTCTTGTTACCCTGCCTGGCGCTCGGCATTAAGGCGCTGAAACAAGTACTGGTCGGCTCGCAGACAGTATACTTAGTCTGAGTTGGCTATCCACGTGAAACCGCGGCATGGTATCTCAGCGGGCTAGCACCATAAAACCGGCATTAGTTCAGACTAAACTGTCGGGCTAAAGAGACTCTTGAACATTGGATGACACAGACAAATGTATACGTTATTAAGACGTTACTAGGCTGAAAACAGTCGCCGAAAAGCTTTAACACGGGTGTATACTTTCTTTTGCCCGGCAGTATAGTACAAGCAGCAACACATGCACGTGAATGCACGTCGCGATGTAAGTGCAACCATCTTGAACGCGACGTTTAACCACATTTCACTTCATCATTTGACTAAACTGACATAAAAAATCCTTATTTTAATAATTAGAGATATGTTTCATGACAATTTTTGATTTGAGAAATGTATATCTGACGACACACTTTTCATGCTAGGATTGGGCGGAAACCAACTCTGATGTTATCCATCCTGCTACACGTTGGCACAGGAGTTGGAACAGCGTTTGCGCCGAACTTCGTGGCTTTCGTCATTCTCAGATTCTTTAATGGTGCTTCTAATATCGGCCTCTTCGTATCATCTTTTGTAATCGGTAAGTAAGCTCAATTGTAGACATAAGACACGAGTTTACAAAGTTTGAATACAAATAATTGGTCTTTTTCCGAAGTTCAAATTATAAGGATACTAATTAAATAAAGCGACAAGAGCCTTTCCATATCCAATAGAAATCTCTGCATAAAGCGATGATACCAGGTGTTCGCGAAAAGGTGAGCGTATCGTGCCCCACCGGTGACACACGTCACAAACACACGCAAAGGCAAATCAATTGTTCACCTGAAATCATGTCAACTACATAGCAGATATTGCACAACACCAACAATGGGATACCCACAATAACAATTTCCTGAGGGTTGACAATAAGTGTTGCCAATATAGTCGAATATATAGAAATATAACTTAGAGTACGGACCAAAATTATATTGCCGTATTATTTCCGTTCAATTAGATAAAATTTCTTGATACTTTCTAATAGATCCAGCAAGAGAAAACCCAGGATTGCTTGATACAAGTTTAACCAAGAAATAGTACTCTGTTTCTTGAAAAAAAATTATGTTGAAAAACATCACAGTTAATGAAAGTATGCGTTGATTTAATCCATATGTCTGATCAAATCTATGTATTTTTCACAGTGATGGAGCTCGTTGGTCCCTCCAAACGAACCTTTGCTGGTATGATCATCGAGTTCTTCTGGTGCTTGGGTCTATTCATTGTGGGCGGTCTGGCCTACTTCATCCGTGACTGGCATCATCTCCAACTCGCTATCTCCGTCCCAGCTGTGCTATTGATTGGCTTATACTGGTAGGTGCACCATTTTAATGTCAACATCATCTCTATAATTCTGTGCCGGATCAGGCTCGTGACGGTGAATAGTATTCTGTCTAAAATCGAGGGCCCTTGAGGATTCCAGGATGTAATTGGCCGCCAGTAACATCAAACTCAGGCTTAGGAACAGACTAAAATGGACTTTTGTCACTCCTTTTTTCTGATTGTATGTCATCGTATTACGTTGCGTTGCAGCTGTTTTCCTGGTCAAGAATTGATAGTTTCCAGGCCGCCGTCAACAGCTGTGATATTGCTAACTAGCGCGCTAACCACGACAGTGGAGGGCATTCTGACGGAACAGATTTAATTCCAACACAAATTGTGTCCCTGCAGTGCTTAGGCTGTTTCGGTACTGTTACATTTAATCTGTTCGTTGGGGCGGTCGGGTAGCCTAGTGGTTAAATCGATCGTGAAAACCCTGGTAATGGTCAAAAATATTTTCAAGTGATCAGTAGTATTTTTGTCGTTTCCGTCACATGTTTTCATTTCCCAGTAGCAATGTGTTTTGGCAGAGTCGCACTTGTCCGAAAGCTCCTGATGCCGAAGTCACTCGATCCTTGAAACTTTGTGAGTCCCGTGGCAGTGACCCAGATTCCCTGTTGATTTGCATGCCAAGTGTCGTTTGTATAAGGCTAGCCATATTTTTTAAATGTGTTTATCACTAAACTAACTAGAGAGCTGGCGGACGAAATAAAATATATAATTTATACCAAAAAATGCCTTTCAATAATTGATTAAGTTATTTTATGACATTTTAAAATAAGTTGAAAACAATTGGTATTAGAATTTAGTCTAAAAAATAATTTTTGATGTTGATCGAGCCGCTTTGCTTCGGAAACGAATTATTAATAAACAACTGAAGAAAGATAAAGTTGACCTGTTCTTTTATGACGGTGCAATGGTAGATCTCGATCTACAAGTATGTCTTTTATTAGATTTCTTCACAATTTTCCACAGCGGCAGGACTTATTGAGTCAGAGAAACTATATTATTTCACTTCGGAATGGAGATGGTGAACTCAGATAAAATACGGACTCACATACTTCGAAAATATGTTCAGATAATTAATTTTGATAACTCCAATTGTACGTGAACATGGATTTCAACATTATTTTCATCAAGATTATTCAGGTCGCTGGCTGCACAGATCATCCTCTCTACTAAACTACTTCGGCATGGACACATATTGGTCTCGAAGCTCAAAGCAACAATGTTCTCTCAGATGCATTTTTGTCTCCATTCATGGCGAGCATCTGTCATAATGTCAATGCTCCGACAAACTTCCTGGTCAATTGATTTCAACAATGTAATACACACAGCGTCATCACAAGTTTCCTTCCAATTACTCGCCACGTGATCAAGGTTACGACCTTGGGATGAATTAATAAATTAATTTGCATTTTTAGAAAAGAAATGTTTTCGTGAATACTGTTATTAAAAAAACATCCTGTACATGGTACTTTTGGATTGCACTGCGGATTTCTTTTATTTTTTTTACTTTCTAAATTGTTCGTTTTCCCTCTTTCTGACAACGCGATCTCCTAGCAACCCATGAGTACATCCGAGTTGGATTGCTGCTTTCAGCTGTCAAGAACGTTGCAATTTCATTCATGAGCAACAAATCATTTTCGTGTGACGCTTAATTTGACGGATATTTATTCGAGATGATCAAGGAGTATTTAGTCATTTCGATTATGACATTGGAGACTTCATCGTTTAGATAGGTCCAGTTAATGACATCATTCCGCCCGTCAACTCGAATCGACAAGAAAGCGCCTCTCTTCCCGCCCTTGCAAATGCATCTGAAACTTTGACATATTCAGTGCCGATTCTTGGGATTAGTGAATCAGTGTCACAGCGAGATTTCATTGTGGAACCAGATGAAGCCGAATATGTATGTTCACACTTCTTTTGTCGACCATGCGTGACACAGCACAGACAATCGCAGTTGGGGAATGGTGTGGCCACCATGTTGCAGAAATTCGTCGATTCGAAAACAGTAGTGCCAAAACTTCTGGACTGAGCTAAATAGACGAAGTGTTTGGAGAGATCGTAGATACACGAACGTGAAGAAACGGATATTAAACGTTGCAGCAGATAAAGGATTGGTGTGGACAAAACGAGAAAGGGATCCCAGATTGTATTTCAAAACGCGAAGTGTATCCAAATCCCCCGAACAAAAAACACATGGGACAAATGTGGATCTAAAGATCAAACTCAGTTTTGTGTGTGAAAATTCCGTGAAAGAAAAGGAAATCTATAATTAAAGTTGTCTTGAAAGATGTGTATTGGAGTTTTACGCCTAATGTAGGTCAAAACGTCTGGTATATTTACTTATTTATCAGTTGCTTGTGTGCACTGTTATGTTAATACATGTGACATATTCATATATTGTAGTCAAGCAAAGAAATATTGGCGAGAGTTCTGGTTCTTCAAATAAGGCTTCTTCCTAAACACTAGTTAAAAATATGTGTAATAATTTAAGTTTTTTCAAAATTAATCTGATTATTGTGTGGTATAGATCTAACTGTTGAATGCAAATGACCAGAAACCAACAAATATCTATAAATTTTGGATTGAACTGAAAGAATCTTGTCGTCAATTTTGTATTTATGTATCGTTACTGTTACATTTTAACCGAAACTGATGTTCTGCTGCTGTTCTGCCGTAAATATATACAACACAATACACTTTGACCACAAATGCATTACGTGTGTCACATGTACACTTGACCATGTGCTTTGCTTTTTATAACGCAACCATAAATAAGCTCCCCCCACTGTGATTGATGCATTGATGCAAGTTGATACGAAGTTTAACGGTCAATGGTGATCTCGTTTACTATGGTTTTTAAAAAGCTTCACCCGACACTCAATTAGTCACTGTTCGAAACTGAAACATCGCCACCTTGCGGGCTATCTATAGTCAGGGTGGGGCTTTAAGCCTTTTTGAACTCTTTTTCATAGTTTATGTTCACTACTAAATGAACAAACAAAATGTTAATGTGCCCCGTGGATGGTGATATTTGATAAGGCTGTTTTCTTGTTCAATTTGTATGCTTTTGACCCCGCTGTACTTTTCTTTAGGTTCTTTGTTCGCACTGCATGGGTCATTTGCGGTATGCCCTTTGTGATAAAACACACATATACATATCACACAATTAAATATTATAATTAACTCTGTAAATATTTCTGATCTAAGGCTGGTTCCCGAGTCGCCAAGATGGCTGCTGTCACGTGGTCGCGAGGAGGAAGCAGAAGCAATCCTGAGGAAGGCGGCAGAAGTGAACGGCGTGACGCTTCCACCGAAGCTGTTTGACAAGGACACTCTGGATGACGGTCCCCAGGCCAAGATCACAGAGATGTTCACATCCCCAGTCCTCCTCGTCAGGACACTCATCATCTTCTTTAACTGGTCAGTAGAACTGTCATAGTCAACATCAGGCATATATCTACTTTGATATTTACATTTTAGTTTGGTGGGTACTGTATTAAACTGGCAACAAGTAAACAGACGAACTCGTGATGAACATCGAAAGGCCGACCGAGTGTTTTTTGAAACAGAATATTTCATCAGTCAATTATTTTCTCCGTAGGGTTGGTTGGTTGGTTGGTTTGTTGCTTTACGCCGCATTCGTAATAATCACGTCTGGACCAGAGAATCCAGTGATTGACATCAGCATCGATCCACGCAATTGGGATCGATGCCATTCTTTAACCAAGTCAGCGAGCCTAACCACCCGATCCCGTTAGTCGACCCTTACAACAAGCATAGTCGCCTTTGACGGCAAGCATGGCTTGCTGAAGACCTATTCTACCTGGATCTTCAAGGGAGGGGCAAAACAGTTTTGGGCACCACAGCACACTATGATATAAAACATCCAAAATGAACAGTAAACCATATTTTTAATTTCAGAGATCAAGAAAATAATACCTGTGCTTAGCATTTTGTGTACATAATCCAATAATCTAACTCTCAGATATGTTTTATTTATTATTATTTTGGTGTGCTTCTGATGTTGAACACTTTTCAAATTCCGCACTAGGCTTGTTGCCAGCATGGTTTTCTACGGTCTTGGTCTTAACGTTGGAAATCTCGGCGGTGACATTTACCTAAACTTTACCATTGCAAACATCGTGGAGACAGCAGCCTACGTCATGTGTCTGTTTCTGTTGGACCGACTGGGCCGGAAGTTCCTACACTGTGGCAGCATGTTGACAGGAGGGATTGCGTGTATTGCCACCATCTTCCCCGTTTTGTATGGGGGCCCAGGTGAGTTGTTGCGAACACAGGTTTGTTCAGAAATGTTAGTGCCGGGTCGTGAGAAATTCATTGCTTGTATATAGATTTGAAGACATTATAGACAGGGGACAGGGGTTGGCCGATCGTCTAAGGCAATTCGACTTGCAGAGTAGCGTACCTTGTGCGCTCCAGATACCCGGGGTTCGAATCCCGGTTCGCCCCGATTATGTTTCTAGGTTTGTCAGCACCATAACCGTGCTCGTGGGTTTCACCAAAGTGGTAATCGTCCTAAACTGCATTAGTTCGGGCTTTGTTCCCACAAGCTGACACGCCGTGATATGACTGAAATACTGTTCAAAGCGGTGTTAAAGCAAATTTTCACAATTGCAAATTCATATGTCATGGTACATCAGTATATTTTCCTTACAGAGCTGGAATGGGTAACAATTACTCTGTCAATGATTGGTAAATTTGGGGCATCTGCTGCTTTCGCCATAATTTACATATTTGCTGCGGAACTGTTCCCTACTGTTGTGAGAAACTCCGGCATGGGTGGTAGCTCCTTCTCGGCCCGTATTGGAGGAATCCTGTCCCCTTACGTTGCTGATCTGGTGAGTCTAGTAATACGATGGTAATGTAAAAACAGAAGCAGGGGATCACAAATATGTAAATGTTATGACTGAATGATCAGGTTTGAAAAATACCTGCCAGAGATAGTAAGTTTCGGAACCAAAATGTAGCGCCCCAATACAACCGAAACATTGCACTGGACCGTGCAGTTCCTCCATGCACGTATCTGGTCATTATTGTTTTGAAACGTCGGTGTAATGTAGGCATATTTTCCTGCGCCAAAAATGATTATTGCTGATTTTCATTTCCACAGTAACACATTAGCTCTCTACTCCTTGAAAGCAGTATTTGTGATCAGATTGGGAATGCGTCGTCTACAATGCAATGAACGCATAGTGGCTATTGGTATTCTTCAAACTGGTAGAACTCAGCGAGAGGTAGCCAACATGTTCCATGTGTCCCAGTCTGCGATTTGCAGACTTTGGAAAGTGTAAACGCTGACCACGTCATGTACCACGGTTAACCAATCAACACCTCCTATCCAGACGTTGATGGTGTTCAGTGCGTGGAACTGGAAGTGCCAGTCTCGTGGCATGTGTAATGTGTCGCGATGAGTCAGAGATTCACGACTTCCTGGATACCGGAAGAGTGTCTGTGGAGCTCCTAAGAAACCTCATGCGAACGTCGACGTAAGGCAACATGACAGATTTGCGGATGGGTCTGTAATGATACAGGGCGAGATCAATATGACTGCCAGAACGCCACTGCATATTTCCACGGAAAGGTCAGCAGACAGCACTAATGAGACAACAGTCAATAGTTGTGCCGCTTCCGTACAATGCTGGTCCACGTTTTGTCTTTGAAGACGATAACGCTTGTGCTCATCGTGCACGTATCGTAACTGACAACCTTCAGCAGCAAAACATCACTAGATTGCAATGGCCAGCCTGGCCTTTGCTCAATGGGGTCCAATGCCACCCACGACGTTAGTCGAACTAGGCCAGGAGCTACAAGAGGGGTGGACAAGACCCCCAGAAGTTGTCATTGGGAGATTGATTCGAACCATGCCGAATTGATTCGAACCGTATAAAGGAATGTTTGACGAATCGTGGGGGCATGACCCATTGTTGATTAAGTCATCTGAAACGTTCATTTCCTGACCACCAACATGTTCTGTTGATTGTCATGTGTCATTTCTTTTTTCACCATCACACGATACCTCTTTATATTTTTTGTAATCATCTGTTTTTCTCTCTCGAAAGTCCACTACTTGTTTACACATGGTATCATAGTGAGATGAAAATACATCCTTTTATTTTACATGTCCACCAAACGTCATTCGTTGTGTTTATGGAATACAATTTGTTTTGTCGAGATGGAATGGGTATGTCGCTTTTATTTACAGGGCACTCTTGTTGGTGGTGACTTCGGTAACGCACTCCCCCTTCTGGTGTTTGGTGCTGTGACAGTGGCGGCGGGGATACTCTCACTGTGGCTACCCGAAACACTGAATCGAAAACTGCCGGAAACTATCGAGGATGCCAAAGCTTTCGGAAAGTAAGTTCCCGATGCCTCTTAAAGTTATATTTTGGTATGAAAGATAGGAAAATGATTTGATGTATGTTGAATCAGTCTTGCATACTCACCATAGTGTGACGCGAAGGACGTACACATGGCCCAATTGTCATCTTTAAATTAGTTTAACAGAACAGAACGTTATTACGCCCAAGGCTACAAAAAGTAGCATGTTGAGGTTTAACAGGAAATGTGACGTATAATAGTGATGTCAGCTATAATAGGTATTTAAATGTAGCCATTACTATTTTACAATATTTTGATAATCTTTTGAAGAAGATATTATTTTTACAATGAAACATCTGTTGAAGTTTAAACATAGATAGATGTACAATAAGAGTCTGTGGTATGTATAGTTGTCTTACCCAAGAATATGTCTCATAAGCAACTCCATTTCACATATTAATTAATATACAGTGAAGTTCTTTTAAAGGCAAATATTGAAAAAGTATAAACACGTTTCCCCGTTACGTATACTCATTAGCATAAATTTTCAATAATGGTTCACTTTTCATTTTGACCCTAGGGTTGTATCACTTGATGATAGATAGGGGCGGTCGGGTAACCTAGTGGTTAAAGCGTTAGCTCGTCACGCCGAAGACCCGGGTTCGATTCCCGACATGGGTACAATGTGTGAAGCCCATTTCTGGTGTCCCCCGCCGTGATATTGCTGGAATATTGCTAAAAGCGGCGTAAAACCGAACTCACCCACACTCACCCACTTGATGATAGATAATTTAGCTCTCTCAGTTTCAATAAACATGTCAAACTATGTATTAATGAACGTCGATTACAATATTTCAGGAGCGGTAACAAATCCTATGAACTTGATCACACAGTCGAAAAGTCTCCCTCCAAAATGGAGTATGACAACCCAGCCTTCAACAAGATCTGAAGATAACAGATTGCAACAAGACAAAACGATTGCTTGTATCATATATTCTTTTCAATTGTGTGTTATGTTTTCATGGACTTACACGTGACAAACTAATTCTATTTGCATATTTATCCATGTTTACAATGGTTGTATTGTTTCACATGCATGCAATGCTTTTGGCTAGCTATCGAGTGTAAAGATATGTTCTCATACTCGTCAGTTTCACGGGTTTAGCGGGATAACTACCCTGGAGGAGTAGCATCAGCATGGGCTGTTCCGATTTAGTATCAGTGCGTCTGCTCACAAACATTTGTGACGTGACAAGCAAGCGACGTCACATAGAAACATTATGACGTCATATGCGCGTACAATCCCGAACACCCGCTGCTGAGACACTCAATTTTGAAAACGAACTAATAACATATATTTCTGTGAATATTTTTTGAATGAGATTTAGATCAGTAATCCAACCTGACGCCTATTGTTTTTTACATGGGGACAACTAACTGACCAGAACGTTCGATGAAGTGACAATTAAGTACTTTGTGTAATAATGTCTATAGTCTATATGTTGTGACATTGCCTATAAGTCAACTGTGAAAACCATTGTACTGTAACACAATGTATTTATATTTTTATACACTACCGTGACATTATTTATGTAATTAATTGAATCCCGTCAGTGCAACCTCTTACTGAGTACTCGGGGGCGTACATGAAGGAAATGTGATGGTATATTGCAGGTCAAAAGGACATGGATGATTGCAATTAAATTGTACTTTGTAGATAGAAATTTACTAACATTTGATTTTTTGTTTCTGCAGATATTTCTCAATGTTTATATTATAAATAGATTAACATGCATCTTTGGAATTTTGACACAGGAACATGCCATGCATGATACTGTGAGTGTATGAATTGCAAGGACATAATGTGTATCGACAGTTTCTAGAATTATATGCAGTATGCAGTGCCATATTCGTTGAAATGTAATGCATATCTTCATTGCGTCAGCAGGGCACCTCTTTCAACATATCAAGACCAGAATACGTATTTACGGCACATTAACAATCTTGGCAAATATGAAACATTTTGTATTCATAGTATGTTATTATCAATAAATATAAATTCTTGGAATGAATAACACAAGTGTTATCGTTAAAGAAATGTCCATTGAAGGTAGTGTCAGTGACACCCGGCGCCATCCCTGATTTTCAGTGATCCATTCATACAACCCTGCCTTTCACGCCCAATGGAACCTGTTTCGACAGTGAATCGTGAGCAGTTATTCTCTGGCATTGATGAAGTATGTTCAAATTTACAATATACAGAGCACATGCAGGGTGCTGATACACAGGGTGAAACCCATGAGCACAGCAGGGTGCTGATACACGGTGAAACCCATGGGTACAGGCAGGGTGCTGATACGCTAAGTGAAACCCAATAGTACAGGCAGGGTGCTGATACACGGTGAAACCCATGGGTACAGGCAGGGTGCTGATACGCTAAGTGAAACCCAATAGTACAGGCAGGGTGCTGATACACAGGGTGAAACCCAATAGTACAGGCAGGGTGCTGATACACGGTGAAACCCATGGGTACAGGCAGGGTGCTGATACGCTAAGTGAAACCAAATAGTACAGGCAGGGTGCTGATACACAGGGTGAAACCCAATAGTACAGGCAGGGTGCTGATACACGGTGAAACCCATGGGTACAGGCAGGGTGCTGATACGCTAAGTGAAACCCAATAGTACAGGCAGGGTGCTGATACACAGGGTGAAACCCATGGGTACAGGCAGGGTGCTGATACGCTAAGTGAAACCTAATAGTACAGGCAGGGTGCTGATACACAGGGTGAAACCCATGAGTACAGGCAGGGTGCTGATACACAAGGTGAAACCCATGATCACAGACAGGGTACTGATACACAGGGTGAAACACATGAGTATAGGCAGGGTGCTGATACACAAGGTGAAACCCATGATCACAGACAGGGTACTGATACACAGGGTGAAACACGTGAGTACAGGCAGGGTGCTGATACACAGGGTGAAACCCATGGGTACAGGCAGGGTGCTGATACACAGGGTGAAACCCATGAGTACAGGCAGAGTGCTGATACACAGGGTGAAACCCATGAATACAGGCAGGGTGCTGATACACAGGGTGAAACCCATGAGTACAGGCAGGGTGCTGATACACAAGGTGAAACCCATGATCACAGACAGGGTACTGATACACAGGGTGAAACACATGAGTACAGGCAGGGTGCTGATACACAAGGTGAAACCCATGATCACAGACAGGGTACTGATACACAGGGTGAAACACATGAGTACAGGCAGGGTGCTGATACACAGGGTGAAACCCATGGGTACAGGCAGGGTGCTGATACACCAAGTGAAACCCATGAGTACAGGCAGGGTGCTAATACACAAGGTGAAACCCATGATCACAGACAGGGTACTGATACACAGGGTGAAACACATGAGTACAGGCAGGGTGCTGATACACAAGGTGAAACCCATGAGTACAGACAGGGTGCTGATACGCTAAGCGAAACCCATGATCACAGACAGGGTACTGATACACAGGGTGAAACTCATGAGTACAGGCAGGTTGCTGATACACAGGGTGAAACCCATGAGTACAGACAGGGTGCTGATACACTGGGTGAAACCCATGATTAGAGGAGGGTACTGATACACAAGGTGAAACCCATGATCACAGATAGGGTACTGATATACCAAGTGAAACCCATGAGTACAGGCAGGGTGCTGATACACAGGGTGAAACCCATGATCACAGGCAGGATGCTGATACACAAGTATCATACTTGGCTCAAAACTGGGATTCGAACCCATGAACTGCAGATCGCTCTGCTTTCGCTCTTTAGATACGTTTTGAAACAATTTGTTGAATTATATGATTGCATCATTGAATAGCGAATTGTGCGCGAAAATGGTAAGCATGTCCAGACCTACCTATTATAACCACCGCCACTCACACCATTAGCATAAAACAGTAAGCGCTTGTTTGTTGCCTGACCCCGCGCACACAGCAGTACTCCTGCCATGCGACAGCGGCCCTTCAACAAACCCGGGAATAAAGTGATGGGCCCAGAGACCAAGTGACACGATAGTGTATGGGCACTACCTTGTAGCTAGACCGCCTCCGTGGTCTAGTGGTAGAGCGTCCGCCCGGAAGGGGAAGGTCTTTTCGATCCCCGAACGCGTCATACCAAAAGACGTTAAAAGATGGTACTTGTTGTTACCCTGTCTGGCGCTCGGCATTAAGGGGCTAAAACAAGGACTGGTCGGCTCGGAGTCGGTATACTGTGTCTGAGTGGGATATTCATGTTAAACTACGGCATGGTATCTCAGTGAGCTAGCACTATAAATCGGCATCAGTCCGGACTAGAACAAGCAGCCACACAAACCCACACACGTACATGCACGTCGCTATATAAGTGCAATAATCTTGGACGCGAAGTTAAACCCAATTTCACCTCACCTCACCTTGTAGCTGTACCATGAACATGCAGGTGAGGGTCAGGTCAGTGGGGCTGTTTGTGGTGGTGGAGAGCAGTGTCAATCTAGTCACGCCTCACTGCTCTCATCGGGTAACCTGCAACAGTGAGGCTCCCCAAACAGTTACTCGCATACCCCGCCTAGTACAGCTATGGCGAACAAGGTGTAAGAGCTTTCGCATAATGAAAACATAACATCCCAAGAAAATGGAATTACAGTAAACTACGGTTATAACGAACACGCTTATTACGAACTGACGGATATAACGAACCTACTTTTTAGGTCCCGACTATTTGCTGTAGTTATGCTGTATATATGCTTATAACGAACTACGGTTATAACGAACAAAAATTAGTAGTCCCTTTGAGTTCGTTATAACCGTACTTTACTGTACTCTATTTTTATAATCAATCTGACAAAGTTTATGAACTGTTTCCATGTCAATAATTTTCTGTGTGACTAACTGGTCATAGAAATTATAACTCGCACATTTGAACATCAGATAGAGTCATTTCAAGGGTACTGCCATAAATAAAAGCAACAAAACTGACATTGACCTTATTTTGTCCCCCGATTCATGTACCTGGTGAAGGGATGATACAAGACCACTGGATGTTTCTCCAGGTGATCGCAAGGACTGGGACATGTGAACACAGAGACGGATTATTAAAAAATAGTCAAATAACAACTGTCATGGAATAGTTACAAAGTATATCACGACATAATCGATTTCGATATCTGTATTTTATTATGAGTAAGTAACTATGTAAACAAAACAAATGTTTTTCGGCAGAAAATAAACACAGGATACGATTTTATGACATGTTGCTATTTTATATGGGCATATATGGTACAAATTGCATGATCATTTTCCAAATGAAAACATCGGCCTGTACTTTAGGCTTCAGAGCGTGTCCATGTGAAGAGTGGAAAGTTTTCAATATGTAATTCCTGTAGATAACTGACCACGTTTCGGAAATACAAAGTCTTGCATCAGACGGGACCTGGATGAATCTCTGCTCCCTCACTCGGACAGATAAGATTGGGCCCTTGTTCTTGTGGTTCACAAGACTTGAAATCGCATAGCGCAGTAAAGTGTTCGGTCTTCCTTTGCGTCGCCGCTTGAGACGCCCCTCTTGAGCTTACCTCATACCCCACAGCTCTTTGTTGACATATCTAGGGTCTCCTCCGTCAGCCTAGCTCACTGCTCCATCAAGTGAAATAGCTAAAACGGAAAACTATGAAGTTTGATGACATTTTATATCACCTTGGTGAGTTCGGAGCGTACCAGAAACGAATATATGTGTTGACATGCATCCCGGCAATATCTGTAGCGTTCCAGACCCTCCTACCTGTGTTTTACCTGGCTATTCCCGACAACAGGTAAGTACAAAATACGTTTCCTTGCTTACTTATGTATGGGTTCAGTGCCACACGAGAGACCTGTCTTGTTTGAAATAATTTGACTGGTGACGAAAAGTAACGAATTTTTTTTTAATCTACTGCGCTCTTTGTGCGATAGGTTGTAATTACGTAATGTATACATGTATGTTACTCTCGTTGAGACAAACATATCAGCTAGTGACAGGTTATGGTAATATGGAGTATCTGTCCCTACACTACAATAATAGACTTACGCTTTCCATGGTCAGTGGTTATCTACGAGGATGGTAGAACAGAATGATTTTACCCTTCATGTTAGAAAGTTTAGCGCCTGAACTGGGCAATACACGCTGCAGTCCCGCGTGTATGGCATGTCATTTCGATTATCTTGTATGACATGTACTTCACAATCCATGAATAACTTCACGCAGAAATATGGAGTCACATTGACCTCACATACAGATCAACATGGGAAAAGGATATTTGTCATAGACACAAAAGTATGCTAACATTTTATGCCCTAAAATACTTATTTTGCATGTCACAAGCGTTTCTTGTTTCTTCCGTGTGATTTAATAGTATGTTTGTATCATACCGTATTTCATGATTGAGGTAAGGTGATATGGGGTTTATTATAGATTATTGTCTTACCTGTGTGTGTTTGTGTGTGTGTTTGTGTGTGTGTGTGCGTGTGCGTGTGCGTGTGCGTGTTTGTGCGCGTGTATGTGTTTGTTTGTTTGTGTGTGCGTGCGCGTGCGCGTGCGCGCGCGCGCGCGCGCGCGTGTGTGTGTGTGTGTGTGTGTGTGTGTGTGTGTGTGTGTGTGTGTGTGTGTGTGTGTGTGTGTGTGTGTGTGTGTGTGTGTGTGTGCTATTAGGATACCATGCCTCAGTTTAACATGAATACCCCACTCAGACACAGTATACTGACTCTGAGACGACCAGTCCTTGTTTTAGCCCCTTAATGCGCGCGCTGGGCAGGGTGACGTATTTTGGTATGACGCCCCGGGGATCAAACCACCGCATACGCTCGATCCACCGAAGCAGTTTCGTAAGTGTGATTTATACACCTTGCATCAAACAGAAATACTTATAAAATTCGAAAGATGTGAAACAGACATTTATACTTAGAAACAGCTACCCTATTTTAAAGCTGAGAATGTTAACTTAGATATAAGTTCAGACTTAACTTTACAAGACCTTCACCTAGGCACAGGTGGGAGATTAAAATATGTCACGTGATAACTATATATTATATTCACGCACTGTATGCGTGCAAGATAAGAGTGACACGACATATTCATTCTTAGTGTTTCTTTCCTTTTGACAGGACTGTTTGAGACATGTTAGCTGAAAGATTGGTGGTAGCAAAACACTTTACTCCGAACATGCAACTGCTAGCTAGTTCGTAAGTAAAACCACATCATTCAACAAGAGATCCATCCACGGGACAACTGGGAAAGGCGTAGATCAATGTAATGCTTTTGAAACAGGATTTCATTATTATCCGGCCGAGAAGTAAATAAAGAAACTGTAACTTTCAAGGTTTACATTTCCGTAGGTCCTGGGCGTACCAGTCACGTGTGTTGGTAGTTCTGGAGGACTTAGTCACCCCTAGGTGCCCAGGGTAGACGGTCGGAATGCATTTCGTTGGTTTTTCACCGTCGTCGTTAGCGGTGTCGGCCCGGAATGCCACATTTGAATTGCAGATAGACTCGGTAACCTTGAATGCTACCGTTTTATGATATAAACGAGACCTACAGAAATACATTTGTACAAATACGTTTTAAGATACACATGAGACCTATAGAAATACATTTGTACAAATACGTTTTATGATATAAATGAGACCTACAGAAATACATTTGTACAAATACGTTTTAAGATACACATGAGACCTATAGAAATACATTGACGAGAGTATATAGTATGACTGAAATGAGACGTTAGCAAGAATAGGTGTGGTGATGTGAAATTGGGTTAACGTCGCGTCCAAGAGTATTGCACTGATATAGCGATGTGCATACACGTGTGTGTGTGTGTGTGTGTTTGTGTGCGTGCGTGCGTGCGTGCATGCGTGTTTGTGTGTGTGTGCTTGCGTGCGTGCGTGTGTGCCTGCATGTGTGTGTGTGTGTGCTTGTGCTAGTCTGGACTGATGCCGATTTATAGTGGTAGCTCACTGAGATACCATGCCGCAGTGTAACATGAACACTCCAATCAGACACAGTATACTGACTCCGAGCCGACCGGTATTGCTTTAGCCCCTTAATGTCGAGCGCCAGACAGGGTAACAACAAGTACCATCTTTTAACGTCTCTTGGTATGACGCGGCCGGGGAACGAACAATCGTTGCTGATAGCGTTGCTCACACTGTATTCGATCCATGAGAGGGATTAGTTACTGTTGTCAACATAAAACGACAATGTATCGCAGAGGCACACTGTATCTAGGTTTATATCTGTGCACGTTATACAACCTAAAAATCGACTTTCTGAGATGTTTGAATACACCGACACATGAATGATGAACCTGCTGCGTTGCCGGAACCAACTGAGCGAACACAAATGTATTGAAAACATACTTTCAGCTTAGTTTGTCCTTTGTCCCCGGCTTGTCTGCAGCTGTATAATAATATTCAGTCCATGCACATTAAGTCATTTACTGACATTGTAAAGAAAAGTTCTGAAAATAAATGTCACTGTGCCCTTGGAGCCGATGTATGCTAACTGCGTGATGAAACGGGTATGTCACATTCATGCTATTTGAGCGATGGCAGTCCGAAGCTCTAGACAGATTCCCTGCATATATTCTGCGCGTGAGCATGCGATGACTATTCTATGCACATCAGCCTTGCTATAAAAATTGAAGAAGAATCTTATAGTCTGCATATGTCCTACTATGCACATTTTAATACATTTTAACCGCGCTAAATTTAACAATGAAACCTCACGCTGCCCGTTCGGTTCCAAATTCAATTTAGCGGGGTTAAATCTACCTTGCTCTACATTGAAAACACAGTATGTTTATCTCCTAAGCAATACAGCCCTTTCCATCATCATAAATAACCTCTGCTTAAAGCAGAGTTATTGTACGATTCCGACTTTACTATAAGCATGTTTCTATGAATCACTGTGCAAAAGTGATGGTACCAGGTGTTCAGAAACCCACCGTAAAACCCATTGAAATCGTTACTTTGAATGTCGTGGTCCTGACCTAGTCTATGGAGGTAAACAATGTAGGAATATTTAAGGGAACTCCAAAATTTATTCAGAAATGACGTGTAAAGAAATGATAATGTGGAATTTAATCCATGCCCCGTGAGCATCGATGCAAGCACGGCATCTTCTGGGCATACTGGAAATCAAACGCCAATTGTCTCCCGTGGCATCCTTCGCCATTCTTCTTGTAAGGCCTACACAAGCTGTTGCAAATTCTGGCAACGCTGAGGTCTGTTGCGAACCCTTCGCCTCAGAACATCCAAAAGGTGTTCACTAGGTGACATGTCTGGAGAAGTGGTTGTCCAGGGCAACGTTGTAACACCTTTCAGACAGTCGACTGCGACATCAGCTCTGTGAGGACCTTCGCACTAGGCACGCGGGATGACCACGGGGCGTACAATGTGGTCCGCATAACGTTGACCAATCATATTCCCTTGCACGATCATAGGATCCGTCCTGTTGCCGTATGTGATGCCGGGCCAGACACTGATGCTGTAACCACCGTACCTGTCGTCCTCTTGGGCTGCTGCCGGATGATACCCCTCCCTGCGCCGTCTCTAAACACGTTGTCTACTATCTGTAAAGTGCAAACACCACACTGATTCATCGGAAAACATGGTATATCTTTAATATCTGTTGTGACCTATGTTATAGGGGGTGCCTATATGCCACGGTCAAACGCATTCCTCTGGAAGGACGTCTTCATTTCAGACCCAAAGTTTTCAACCTGTTTAGTATCGTTTACGTCACAAGTCAGATTCCTGTAGTGCAGGAGTAAATGTGTTCCTCAACGCTATGGTTCGTACATGTCGATCCTGGGAGTTGTCTTTCTAGGCCATCCCCTCCCCACTCTAATCTTAACTCTATCCGCTTGCTGATATGTCACCCAGTCGGGATATCACACTTTTAGATTTACCAGGCCTGGCTAGTGCATTCTGTGATTGGCCAGCTTCAATCATGCCTATTGCGCGCAATGTTTCATTTTCTTTTGGAGGCATTTCCCTTCTTTCTACCCGATCAATGAGCTTTCTGGTTGTAACGTTTATTGGCTTATGTAAGTAACCAGGATGTCGTAGACTACATGTTTTACGTGTGAAATGAACACAATTTGAGCGTTTTTGCAATCCGCCTTCAGTAACTGTGCAACAAAACTCATTCATATGGTTAAAGTGACATATCGCTCCTCGTATACAATAACGAGTCAAGTACTATGAACTAGTACGTATTTTGAAGGACGTAAGGTTGTGAGCTTCAGTTGTGTTTCGTTGTCACCCGAAAGGTGAGTGGTACCGTAGAAGAAACTAACTTCAAATTTAGTTGTACATGAAGCCTTTTTGACGATTAACGTATAGAGTCGGTTAATGTTTACACAAGCGTCATCACTCGTCAGCCTTCACATATAACCCTTCTGGTCGGACGGCTGTCAGTTAATACTTAGCATTAGACATACCTATGATGAAAGGGCGACTTCTTTTGTCATTCTGAAAAGCACCGTTTGCATTTCCTGCAAGTTCTGACAAACACAGCTTTGAGCTAAATATGTTGTTCTAGGCACACTACTTCTTGGCAAGATATTATAGTATAAGGCTTCTTTTGATAATGTTGTGAGTAATTATGAATATTGTCTTGTGGACGTAGTGTGTGAAATCAGAACATTTTAAAGAGGTACATAATAGTAAGTAACAAAATGACTGGTATTTGAAGGTGTGCGGTCCCAGGCTTAGCCAATGATACCTACAACAGTCAGGGAAGAAGTCACGATGTCATCGTCAACAGAACCATTCCCTGGGAACGTGATGACGATGGGGCATCGATCTTATCAGCTTGCAACGTGTACTCTAACTTGACAGCGGGCAACAATACACGGGAGTGTACATCCTGGGTGTACGACAAAACCACCTTCACCTCCACAGCTCTGGCGCAAGTAAGTGTACATGTCAACTTATGATTAATTTATAACTTTAGTTTATCAGTTAATAACCCATCTATTCGTTACTTGGTATGGTCATGATTTGTATTGCGCTGTTCATAAACAGAATATTTATAGCAAATCAAATAATTAATGTTCATTTTCTCACAAATATCATATCGATGCCTCGCTTGTTTCGAACTATGGAAACTCGATAAATTTATGTTTTCAAGAACGCTAACAGCACGTCAGTTTTTAGTCCTGCACCATGACCGTGGAATATATTTATTTTATGAAAAAATAATAATCTAGAAATGCATACAAAAGCAAGTCTAGCCATCTCAAGCTAGCTCTATTCTGAAATCAGCATAGAGAATTGTTTTTATTTTTAGAGTCAAGAAGGATATTGTGTAATATAAGATTTCAGAGACTAAATGTTAGTCTAGTCAGTTTTATTCAGTACTTCAAAGGCGACAGGCCTATAGCACCACGCCACCTACATGTAAATACGCATTTTACTATAGGCCTGTGGCCTTTTAAGTACTGAATAAATCTGAACAGCACGTCACTGAATATAAGACAACAGAGAATATTGATCGAATAATTGTCCATTGTGGGTATACTATACAGAGTCAACGCCAGAGAATAATCAGTCTCGATTATAAGTCGAAACAAATTCCACTTGTAAAAGGAAAATCAGCGGTGAATATTATAGGAATGGATCCCTGAAAATCAGTGATGACACCAGGTGTTCACGAGGAGTATAAGCATGTCCCACCCGCCTAGTAGCACTCGCCACTGACACATTTCGCATAAAAATGTAAGTGTCTGTTTGTAGCGTGACGCCGAACAACACTCCTCCCCAAAATATCTTGGTCCATTACTTGACTGTCCATGTTTCCATGCCGCTGTCGCATTGCAGGAGTACTGTGCGGCGTCAGGCAACAAGCGAAAACTTGTGTGAGGGGCGGGTTCTACCGTGAGGGCAGGACATGATTGCCATTCGCGGACACCTTGTGTCATCTCTGATTTACAGGACCGCCTCCGTGGTCTAATGGTAGAGCGTCCGCCCGGAGAGCGGAAGGTCCGGGGTTCATACCAAAAGACGTTAAAAGATGGTACTTGTTGTTACCCTGTCTAGCGCTCGGCATTAAGGGACTAAAACAAGGACTGGTCGGCTCGGAGTCAGTATACTGTGTCTGAGTGGGGTATTCATGTTAAACTGCGGCATGGTATCTCAGTGTGCAAGCACTATAAATCGGCATCAGTCCGGACTAGTACAAGCGCCTTACACACACACATACACGTGCATGCACGTCGCTATATAAGTGCAATAATCTTGGACGCGACGTTAAACCCCATTTCACCTCACCTCTAATTTACAGTGATCCATTCATATACTGTTCACCGCTGGTTTGTCTTTTACGCCTAAATGGACGGGGCATTCTCTGGTGTTGTACATGAATATTACACTGGAAGTTGTTACTCGTTGTAACTCTGAGGTAATGACTACAATGTACAACTACCAAAAGAAACTAAACCCTCGCTGTTTCAAGAAATTGATACTAACAATACATACGACCACGAATGTATATATTTCTCATTATATAGTACAACATCGTGTGTGCGAACAAGGGATGGCGAGCCACGTCCAACTCCATCACTTTTGCGGGTAGTCTGGTTGGTGCACTCTTCCTCGGGCTATTGTCTGACGTGTAAGTACCTCCTCACTTAGACGCTACATTGTGTACACATGCACGGTCATGTTCACATGGTATCCAGGACAACATATCCACATCAAGTATGTATCATGTATGTTCATATGAACGTTACTGCTTGAGAGATACATATCTAAGAGGACAATACAGGATTAACTTTATATAATATCAAGATGTGATTTAAGCAAGTCATATCATGTATAACATCAAAATCTGATTTAAGCAAGCCATATTATTATAGACCCGTGGAGATCCGGGGTAGAATAGGTCTCCACCAACCCATGCTTGCCGTAAAAGGCGACTATGCTTGTCGTAGGAGGCGACTAACGGGATCGGTTGGTCAGACTTGCTGACTTGGTTGAAACATGTCATCGATCCCAATTGCGTGGATCGATGTTCATGATATCAATCACTGGATTGTCTGGTCCATACTCGATTATTTACAGACTGTCGTCATATAGCTGGAATATTGCTGAGTGTAGCTTTAATCAACACAGACACACAAACAAACAAACCAACCATATCATTATATATAATGTAATGAGAGAGTGAGCACTTGTACGTCCGCTAGGTCCCATTGACCTAACAACCATGATGAACGTACAACATCAAGATACTACGTACAACTCTGTCGTTGTCTGTTAACAAACAGGGTTAATAGGGAGGAGTGGTTGAGGACGAGATGTTTTGAAATGACAAATGACGCATCACCTTGAATTTAAACCGCATCCCGATTTAATGCATGTTTAGCGGGGTGCATTGATACATATATTTTCTCCTTGTGAACTCAAACTACATTAATTTTAATGCGACTGCATAGTGTTACACGCCGTTTTTTATGTATGAATCGACTTTAAGAGCAAAACAGCCTCATCCAGGTTTATCATATTTCACAGATTACTAGGTGTGTTTTCCAACAACAAAAGTCAAATTCAAATTGTTTTTTGCCACTTTTATGTCTGACTGTATTTGTAATCATGACATTATTTTTTCTAGATTACTCATCATTGTTTTCTTTCGAATTAAGAATGCGATTATGATTCCACTTAAGTTATGTTCCCTTGGGCACGCCAGAAACCTATGATTGTTGGTTCGAATCCCGGTTTGCCCCGATTATGTTTCTAGGTTTGTCAGCACCATACCCGTGCTCGTGGGTTTCACCGAAGTGGTAAACGTCTGATACCTGCATCACTTCGTGCTTTCCTCCCACATTAAGCTGACACGCCTCGATATAACTGGATTACTGTTAAAGCGGCGTTAAACCCAACTCACTCACTCACTTAAGTTATGTTTCCCTATTCTAACACCAGAAGCAGAACGGAATATATCAAACATATATGTTGCTTTGTATACTAGCAGAAAAATGCTGTGCTTCATGTAAAGCTCAATACATTTATTCCGAAATTAAATAATGCATATAATGCGTATTCATGACGACATCTCCTCGACTTAAAGGTCGTGACTCACAGACTGCACGTGCGTGTTTGTTGGGAGCATGATACTCACACACGTGTTTTTTAAATGTGAACAGCCTGCAGTGATTTGTTTGTTTCTGTTTTAACGACGCACTCCAGCTATATGACGGCGGTCTGTAAATAATCGAGTCTGGACCAGACAATCCAGTTATCGGATATCATGAGCATCGATCTGCGCGAGCCTGACCACCCGATCCCGTTAGTAGCCTCTTACGGCAAGCAAAGTCGCCTCTTACGGCAAGCATGGGTTGCTTAAGAATTATTCTGCCCCGGATCTTCACGGATCAGCCTACAATGACCATTTAGCTATCCCTACTCATAAGAAACACTTTTGTTTTATCGTAAATAACGCTTACGCAATGCCCCGGCTTGCTGAAAATCAGCGTCTACTTTCCGTGGGTATGCTGCTTAACAGGAATTGCGTCAAACGAGGGTGTCAGACATTTTAACGTTCATCAAAACACAATATCATCTCTTAAGGGACCATTACACCAAACGCCGCTCTGCGCTCCTTCTGCGTCCTAAAATTTGACTAGAGCGCAGTGGGGTCGCCATACTCAAGAAAACTCTCTTTTGGTGTAATCGCTCCTACGACCGTTCTGCCTTCCTTCTGCGACTAAATATGTTACTTTTGTCAATGTCACTGCGTTCCCTAGGCGTTCACTGTGCGATATCTCTGCGCTCCCTCTGCGTCTCCTCTGCGTTCCCTCTGCCTCCGTTCTGCCTCCCTTGAGCGACTTACATCGACGGCGATCTCACTGCGACTGTTTTAAGCAGGTTCAAAACTTTTCAGCGACAGTGGCGCTCTTGGCGATGGCTGAGCGTTCCCTCTGCCTCCCTTGTGCGCTCAACGCGACCGTTCTGCGTCCCCTCTGCCTTCAACGCCGACATGGCAAAACTTAAGAACGCAGAACGGTCGCAGAAAGGTGTAATGGGGGTATTAAGAAACGTTATCTGCAGTAGGGCAACACCCATAACCTGCCACGGGCCGGTCGTCTACGTGTGGCGTCACATCCACAAGACAACCATATTCGGTTGGTGCATCTACGGAATCGATACCCTACTGCCCCATTAACAGTTCCGACAATTTTTGGGTTGAGACCATTTAGTGGCAGAACCGTATGCAACCGGTTGTAGGAGCACAACATCCTGGACGTGTTATGGTGGAGTGGAGTGGAGTGGAGTGGAGTGGAGTGGAGTGGAGTGGAGTGGAGTCACAACTCAATGGAGAACACATCTCATCATTGTTAATAATGCCGTGCGCTACCGGGAAGACATCGTTCGTGATGCCGTTCTTCCCTTTGTACGTTACGTTGTAGGATAATGCCTGCCCACACGTGTTGTAACCGACCTACTGACGCAGCATAATATTGCTGTTCTGCCATGGACGGCAGTTTCTCCAGCCCTCTCCCCGTTAGAACATGTGAAGGATGAGATGGAACAACGCCCCAGGTCGTTTTTTATCACCTGGTGTCTTCGATGCGCCGCCACTGCCTCACCTGTGGTTACACCCGATACTGACATTTTAATTGAGTTGTTACATCGCCTCTTTAAGGGCGTGTCTCTCTGTCTCCTGTTAACAGGTATGGGTTTTGTCAATGAATTTGTCATGATAAAACATAAGAAGAATGATCACATATTAAGTTGTTGTTTTTAATAATATAACGTTTACACTGCTTTATACGAAGCACAGTTACTTTTTTCCTTAAGTATATGTAGCGGCCATAAAATTCGAACCACGAACCTGATCCGAGGTCGGACGCCTTGTCCACATGAGCAAAGAGTATGCTATCTGTAGGAAAACGCCCTGCTACATTTATACTCGTGCACCAAAGGGTCGCTTACAGCATACGTTTAGACTTGGGCGCATCCAGCTGATTGAATATCTTTTCTTTCAGGATTGGGAGAAAGAAGACGTTCTTTCTGAGTATATTTTTCCACTGCGCAAGTAGCATCAGCATAGCTTTCGCCCCTAACATGGTTGGCTTTATTGCCCTGAGGTTCATCAACGGAGTCGCGAACGCAGGTCTTTTCATGTCAGCCTTTGTTATTGGTAAGTACTCTTTCGTCATGAGGGTCGCTATATAAGTGCAATAATCTTGGACGCGGCGTTAAACCTAATTTCCCCTCACCTTAGTCATGAGGGGGCACGGGTGGCCAAGACGTCTCAGGCGAGTTGCATCCCTTGGGCACGTCAGAAACATATGATCATAGGTTTGAATCCCGGTTCTCTCAGATAATGTTTCTAGGTTTGTCCGCGCCATACCCGTGCTCATGGGTTTCACCAAAGTGGTGCGCTCGGTCGTTCCTCCCACATTAAACTGACACGACCTGATAAGACATGGTGTTTAACCCAACTCACTCACTGACTCTTTTTTCATGACAAACAATGATAGTAGATAGTCACTCATGTCCTATATACGTTTCAAGGATACCACGACAGAAGTTGTATATCGCACTGAGGTTAATAAAGAATTGTCTAAAGAGACTTCTATAAAACTTGTGGAAATCACAATTGTAGGGATGGAGCTTGTCGGGCCCTCGAAAAGAGTAATTGCTGGAATTGTCATCGAACTGTTCTGGTGCCTCGGTCTGTTCATTCTGGGAGCTGTGGCTTATGGTATTCGGAACTGGCAACATCTGCAGCTGATTCTCTCCGTGCCGCCTGTGCTCATGCTCTTCATGTGGTGGTATGTGTTATGTTTTCAGAAGACATCTTACTTAAGTTTATTTTTCTGTGGATTCTGCTAACCACGCGATTCGTTTTTCACAAAGTAATATAACGTCGCCTTTACACGAAAATGTGTTGGAACGTTTCTGGTTGGGCGTCAAATCTCAGTCATCCTTTTTCTCACAGGTTTATTCCCGAATCTCCAAGATGGCTGCTGTCACGCGGGAGGGACGCTGAAGCTGAACAGATTATCCGGAAGGCGGCAGAAGTGAATGGCGTGGACCTTCCTCCCAAACTATTTGACAATTCAACTGTGCAAAAGCAGCCTAGTGCAAGGGTGTGGGAAATGTTCACAACGCCAGTTCTCCTTATCAGAACACTCGTCATTTTTTTCAATTGGTGGGTAGGATCTATTATTAAAGATACATATTCCATGTGTTCATACATTTCATATTTGAATTCCAACAAACTGTTTTGTCGCTTTTATTATTATGTCCCCGAACGAGGTTGCCTTATTTCTTTATGTCCACCCATGACGATATTTGAAAAGGTGATTGGTGAAAGTTGAAGTCAATGTTTGGTAAACATTGAACTCTAATTACTCCTTATGTAACATTTAATGAATGCAATAAAAACATATTTCTGGTTATAGCCATATTTCATCTTTCAAGAATGATTGCTCTCATTCATGTTTAACATCCACGGTGTGTTGTAGGTTTGTGGTCAGCATGGTGTACTACGGCCTTGGACTGAACGTCCAAAACCTCAGCGGAGACATCTACCTCAACTTCACAATCGCCAACATCATGGAGACTGTTGCCTACGTCCTCTGCATCTTACTCCTCGACCGTACCGGAAGGAAGAATCTGCATTGTGGGAGTATGCTGCTGGGTGGCATCGCGTGTCTGCTCACCATGTTTCCAGTGATGTATGGCAACAAATGTGAGATATTATTCTTTTTGCATGTACAACAGAGATGTGTATTCTTTTGGGCAATAATAAACACCATTTTTCTAGTTGATTATTTTGTGACGGTAGTAGGATTGCAAGCAAGAAAGACAAGGAACATACCAGAACTGCTATCATGGGCAACTTAAAACCAGGGAGACAGAAACCGTCAGGTTTAATTTATCAATGCCAATACAATAAAACACCTGTGTTTTCCGAGAAGATGCAAAAAATAAAACATTTCCCCCTATACGATTGGTGAACGAATGCTTAATATTTCCTAAAATGGGTACAAATGTCTTCCTATGAAGATTTCAGAGCGCATCATACGATCTAGATCAAAGTTGTTTGGTCAGGGTTACAGCATTCACAGCCTAAGTAAAGCGTTCAGAGGGTTTTATGCTAGACACGAGGAGGACGTTTCCAAATTTTGACCAATTCCAATTCCAATTCCCTATTTTGACTTGAGACAAATTCTCTCGTCTTTTTTTGGTGAACAATTGTCTTGCCCTTGCATGTTTTTACCACGGGTGCCACCGGTGCTTTTAGCAGAGCTTGCTTATGTATTATTGAAAGGTTTTTGATGCTTTTATTTCTTGATACTTCAGCACACACCTGGATTACCACTGCACTGTCAATGATTGGGAAACTTGGTGCTTCTGGAGCCTTTGCCATCATATACGTATTTTCTGCCGAACTGTTTCCAACTGTTGTCAGAAACTCTGGAATGGGTGCTAGCTCCGTATTTGCACGTGTAGGGGGAATTATCTCCCCCTACGTAGCTGATCTGGTAGGTACAGCCGGCAGTGTAGGACTTTCAATTATTCACTTCATTCTCTAAATGTGCAAAATAAAGGTTATTGGACATGTAAATGGGATTTCCTTTTATTCTAACATTTCTCGTCAATAACTAGTTTCATTCATGACAGGAATGGCATAAACCTTAGACGCAATGCACTACACACTTCCATTGGTATACAGGGCCTATTCGTAGGTGGTGATCTGAAGGTGGCGCTTCCACTGATTGTTTTCGGAGCTGTGAGTGTTGGTGCAGGTCTTATTTCACTTCTCCTCCCGGAAACCCTGAACCGAAAACTCCCGGAAAGCATCGAAGACGCGAAGGCGTTTGGAAAGTATGACTAATATAGTACACTGTTCATTTTGTGGATATAGCTATCGTAATGAAAATTAAATCTTCACATTGAATATCATTTCGCAAGACAGTTTATGTTATCCCACATTGTGTTATCCTTCATCATCTGTAAACTTAATACATGAATTATTATATTTCTGCAGAACAAACAGCCGGACAGAATACCATCTTGATACATTGGAGGATGCCGACAATTACAAAGAAACATTCAAGAGCAAAGAGAGCGATAAATACTAAAGAGAGACAATATATTTGAAAAGTAGGATACCATTGCATAACATTTCTGTGGACATAACTACCGAAATGGTTTATTTTTTAGAACCTATATGTTCTCTTCGGTACAAACATTAACATCTAACAATTTCATATTTCTGTACCATGAACTTACCAAATGTTTTATCGCATTTTATCGCAATCAGAGACCATATGGTCTCTGTCGCAATGGATAAACTGTATATGTGTGTAATATACTGGATTTTCATACTATATTCTTTAAAGGAAAATATGTGATGAGTGATGAAAATAGAGCTCATAAAGAAAACAGATTCTAATATGTAATTATTTTGGGAGAGATTATGAAACCGAATCGTTGAAAGGGGTAAGGAAAACTAACTGTAACCTAATATTTATAGTATACCTTTTGATTTCAGAAGGTTTTAGGCAGAACTGTCGATTCCCGACATGGGTACAATGTGTGAAGCACCATTTCTGGTGTCCCCCGCCGTGATATTGCTGGAATATTGCTAAAAGCGGCGTAATACCATTCTCACTCACTCACTCACTGAACCGTTTCTAGGATATAAACTGGAGGTCTGCGTCGTTTGAAGGGCATGGTTACATTTGGACCCTCAGTTACAGTGGAATTCCTGTGAACTTACTGCACATAGCTACCTGTGATAGGTCCACCGAACCTTGCAGACAAATATATCATTTTTAGTTTAGAGTAAACAATAAACGACATTTATTGATATAACAATGCCTGTGACAAGAAGCAAGGAGGTGCGTTATATGAGGTGAGGTGAGGTGAAATTGGGTTTAACGTCGCGTCAAAGATTATTGCACTTATATAGCGACGTGCATGCACGTGTGTGTGTGTGTGTGTGTGTGTGTGTGTGTGTCTGCTTGTACTAGACCGGACTGATGCCGATTTATACTGCTAGCCCACTCAGACACAGTATGCTGACTCCGAGCCGACCAGTCCTTGCTTTAACCCCTTAATGCCGAGCGCCAGACAGGGTAACAACAAGTACCATCTTTTAACGTCTTTTGGTATGACGCGGCCGGGGATCGAACCCCGGACCTTCCGCTCTCCGGGCGGACGCTCTACCACTAGACCACGGAGGCGGTCGTGCGTTATATGAACAAAAGAGTATTGGTTTATAGAAGGTTATCGAGAATGTTTCTTCTGCCTGAGTGTACTGAGAGAAGTTGAACAAGAAACATAGGCTGAACATACAGAAGGCGATGAACAGTCTTTGCGAAATTATACATATAACTCTGATGACGAACGAAAATGATCTCCTTTTATGAACAGATTAGCATACGAAATGAAAGAAGGTAATACAAATATGTTATCATGTCAGTTTTAGAAAACTGGATTTTAGAACAATAAAATCGTTTACACTGTTCCCATCACAACATTGTATCTGTCGTTTCAGTGTTCTTCGCCATCCTTAAAAAAGCATGCAATGCAGCACCAGTCACATTCCTAGGGAAGCCAACCACATTTTCCTACATTTTGTCCATATTACAAAATTACCACAGTGTCCAAACTGAAAATTGATAGAACCCATATTAATAAGTTCAAAACAGATACTAATCAGTGTCGAAACAGATTCAATAGGGCGTTAAAGGTAAAACATGAAAAATATTACGGCGTCACTGAAATCAGCGTGGACACTAGGTGTCAAGACCATAGCAGTATGTACCCCAAAACTCATCATTTCATTTTTCCATGCTTCAATACATATCCATCCATAGATATACTTTGACATATCCAAATAACATCTTGAAATCCAACATCTAACCTTTGGTTGTGTCTGTTATAGTTTCTGTATTTTGAAATATACTAATGTGTATCATTTGGACAAGGTATTATACTAATCGGAGCTTAAGAAAAAGTAAAGTTTATTGCTTTTAATATGAGAGATGTACATATAACTTTTTGCAGATGAGATAATATTATTCAAGTGATTATTGCCGGTGTTTACAACCAGTAGTATTGCAGTCAGTGAAAATAACATTGATAACAAGTTGTCAGATCGTTCAAGAACTTCTTCACATGCTCACAGGAAACATAGAGGTGTTTTCTATTCCTCGATTCACCCCCCACAGAAAGCACACATGTTTTTATCAATTATTTCCATATTTTGTAATTCATTTTAATGCAAAATATATAGTGAATAAACTTGTATCGAAAATAGAGCAACTTAGTGTCTTTTGTACATCTTCTATAATAAGTGAATGTAACCTTCCATGGTTGTGAAATATCGGTAATGTTTTCCCATTTTTTACGTACTGATAGTACAATTTAAGCTTTCGTAAAAATATCGGACCCGTGAAGATTCCGGTGTAGAATAGGTCTTCAGCAACCCATACTTGCCGTAAAAAGCGACCATGCTTGTCGTAAAAGGCGACTAACGGGATCGGGTGGTCAGGCTCGCTGACTTGGTTGATGCATGTCATCGATCCCAATTGCGTGGATCGATGCTCATGATATTAATCACTGGATTGTCTGGCCCAGACTCGATTATTTACAGACCGCCGTCATATAGCTGGAATATTGCTGAGTGCGGCGTTAAACAACAAACCAACCAACCAACCAAAAATATCGTAAAAAGTCTGCCTCCTTTTAAGGGTGACAAAGTAGACACAATTTATGGATAACAACTTCTTTAATACTGTAAAGGCGACGTTTCGGTATAGATCCTCATACAGTTGTCAAGTAAGGGTGTAAAGGTGTAATTAAATTCAGCAACATCTTATAAGTTCCGGTGTTCTGGCTTACGTGGACAGTATCATTAATAGTCTCTCCCTAGACTCTGGGGGATAATCCTAATAACTTTTTAAGTCTAAGTACCTGTTACATTACATTTCTTCGTACACTCTTCAAAAGACTTAATGTCTTTGTAGACATTGCAGAGTTGCAGAGAACTAAAATTGTATATACACCCTTTTTGAACCTGTCATTAACAAAAAAAATGTGAGTTATTGAACATGATGATTAAACCATATTGGTTCAAGTAAAATGTTTAGTAAAGTAAGTCAGTTTGATCATTTATGAAAAAGGCATCTTTCCAGGGTTACTAATAGCAGCATATGTTTCTATATTAGCCCCTAGCATTGCAAGATTCTCAATTTGGACTTTACTAGGGTTTGCGAAATTTAGATTGCATAAATGTCTTTTTGTGGTTGAAATCTTCAACGAGTCAATACATGTTTAAACATCAATCATTCTATTTCCACCTTCATGTTAGTACTTTTGTAGATGTTCTCTCTTTGTTTTATCATGTTTACCGTTTCAAATAAAAAAGGAAGAAGATTATCTCTTTAATAAATGATTTAGGAGGATGGAGTGCGGAGACGATGTTTTTATAACTGCAGTTTTAACTATTAAAGTAAGATTACACCCAAGTTATCAGCTACGGGCAAAAGTAGATACGGCGAAACAGGATCCCTTTGTCTGCAGCCCCTTGAACTAAAAAGGAACTCCGAAAGGTGGCCATTTTGAATTACACATGAGGAAATAAAAATTGATATCCATTGAATTGTTTAAATACGGTGTCAAAAGCCTTCTCAAGGTCAATCAATATAAACAATCCTTTCTTATTTTGTATCTTGTTTTCGAACATAATGTCATACAAGAGCCTGATGTTTTCACTGAAGATTCTCGTGGATAATTGTATCTTGAGTACTCTTTAACCTAATTGGTTATTATATACTCTTCAAAAAAAGAAACTTGACACTGACTTTCAAAATGTAATATAATACGATTGTTTCAAAATAGGACACATAAACGATAATTGAAACACTGTTTGAAGATCAATGTACACAATGTTCAAAACATTAATCGTGTCACCTAGACAGACACACGTACACGATACAGTTAATGTCACAGGGGTACAGAAAATGTCAGTATCGGTTGTGCCCACCACGTGCATCAATCACCGCTTGACACCGACGACCCATTATAGATGCAATCAAGTTGTCAATAACACGCTGTTGGATGTGCTGCCATTCGTGCTGAAGTGCATCAAGAAGCGCCGGAAGTGTTTTGGGCGGTGGATTCCTTCTGCGAACGCGTCGATCCAACTCGTCCCACAGATGCTCAATCGGGGACAAATCTGGTGACCGGGCTGGCCAAGGTAATGTCTGGATGTTGTTGTGCTGTAAGAAGTCCTGACAAACACGTGCAATATGCGGTCGAGCGGTGTCCTGCTGGAACTGTCCGCCATGAACGTTGACGTGAGGAAGAACGTAAGGCTGTAGGATCAAGTCTCTGTAACGCACACCCGTCAATGCACCTGCCACATGCAGGAGAGGCGTCCTACCACCGTGATGAATTCCGGCCCATACCATGACACTCCCGCCGCCGAATGGGACAACTTGATGCACACAGTTGGGGACGTAACGTTCACCCCGACGTCTGTAGACACGTGCGCGCCCATCAGCACGTGTGAGTAGGAAACGGGACTCGTCAGTAAACAGTACATTTCTCCATCTTGCACGTGTCCATCTAACCCTCTGTTGACACCAAAGCAGACGGTCCGCCAGATGACGTGGGGTCAACACATGACGTCGAACAGGTCTTCGTGCAAAAAGTCCAGCCTCCCTCAGTCTGTTGCGTACCGTTTGATCTGTTATTCTGCGTACCCCAGGGATCTGTGTGGTACTAGACGTGGCTGTGGTAGTGCGGTCTCGGAGGTGTCGCAGCCGGATGTATCAATCTTGTGCTTGGGTTGTCACCCTTGGTCTGTCGTCAACTCTGTTGGTGTTGTTGTATCGGGTCCACAGTGCGGAGAGTGTCTGTCTGGATACGCCAAAGTGCCTGGACACTTCTTGCTGAGTTGCTCCAGCTCCCAATGGCGTTGTTCCGTTGAGCTGCATTCAGTCTTGGCATTCTGTCACCGCCTCTACTGCCGTTATAAGGACTGTATGAACAGCCGTTGATGTGGATTTTTTTACCCATTCAGCAGGGGGCCTGCATGCCTAAATGCAGGATCCTGTGCTGCACTTTTTTTACAGGCGGTTGCGTTTGGATGAAGCTGTAAATTGATCCCCAAACGCTACGTTTATGTGCTTTGCATGTGTTTTCGCGAATTATAGACACACCATCTTTCTGTTTGACTTATTTGGTTCTCATTTAATGTAATTATTTTAGATATTTGGCAAAAAGTGGTTTTACATCTATGTCAAGTTTCCGTTTTTGAAGAGTATATAAACATATTGTTTAACTAACATGATGCGCCAGGGTTTTAGTAGTTTTCTATCTTTTCCGGTTCGGTTATATACAAATAATATTACCACTGTTAAAAGTCAAAGTCAGTTGATTGTTGGTCAAATGATTGTTTAACATATCTAAAAATCCATTTACCTAAGTCCTTGCAAAAGAATTTAAAGAATTTTATTGAAAATCCGTCTTACCCTGGACTTCTATTATATTTCATTGACCTTATGGCTCTGGCTATTTCTTCAATTTCAATTGTTTTCTCTAAATTTTCCTTCATAGAATTTTTTAATGTTGGTGTTTCTATTTCCTTAAATATATTTAATCTTTCTTCATCTGTTTCTTTTTATGATTTGTAGAAATAAAAACGAACAGAGAACAAGAGTGATGACTTTCTGCTTGCCATGAGCTGCCATAACCTTACATTAAGACCAGCGTCATAATGGTGATATGCGGTGCAGAACCAATATCCTTACAAGGCTTGCCAATTGTTCTTTGGGGTGTCTTTACTTAAAGCCCCACCCTGACTATAAATAGCCCGC